ACATTCTCAAAACTGGATGGCTGTACGACAGAAAAGCAAACCAAGAACACATCTGTCTGTGGATAAGACAGAGGGCGAAGACGGTCGTAATCTTCTTGACCAGCAGTGTCGAAAAGACCCAATGTATACGGCTCGCCGCCAATCATCACTGTTACTGCATAGTTGTCAAACACCTGTAAAATGAACAGTCAGCAGTACAGGCTGAAAGCACAGTTTAACGGCGATAACAGGCAGTACGACTTCTTTTAGAACAAATGCTCCTTTTTCTGTAACACTGTCGTGATGTTCAACGGCTTCACTCCAATTTAGGAAATTTACGAAAGGAATTAAGAAGTGAAGGCGTACCGTCAGCACCGTTCAAAACGTTGAAAAAAGGTAATAATTATACTACACATGTCCAGCACAACGGTAAAATTGACGATGATCTTCCTAGACCTACAATTTGCAAATGTATTACACACTATAATGGGAAGAATTAATGAATGACTGGTACATCCCGGCGCTAACCAGTCAGTGTATTTACTGTCTAAATCGTCATACACGTACCACAAAAATACTATTCGCTTCAAATCCACCTCAGCTGAGCCTGATTTGACTAAAATGGAATCAGAATTCCCAAATTAAATAATTTAACGATTCTGTGAACTCAGAGTCAATCTCAGTCTCCGTAGATGCCCAGTTGTCCGTTACAGCCTTTTATACCTCGTCAGTGAGATAATCATTTAATTCTAGAATGTACAGATATCCGTTTGCGACTGTAAAACGTGGAAGGCGCTAACAACTTAAAATGCGAATAAACACACATTTCGCTCGCTTACATCGACGAACAGAATATTCATGAAAACATAAAACGACTAGGCCCATACTGTATGGAATTGTGTATGCTTATTACCTTGCTTGATAATTTAGAAATGATCCTGAAAGATTACGTAAAATGTCTGATTTTGAGGCTTAGTACCGTTTAGTGGTTTGCTCTTTAAGATTCGGTCTACTTCCAGAGCTTCACCATTGCTACGTTCCTTGCTAACTGTTAGACAACACTTCGTAACAGTGGCAAATGCTCCTGAGCTACTAGGGATTAAACTAAAACATTAGTGAAATCAAAAACAATTATCCCAGTACATAAAGTAGTGTATCTGATAACCGAAATAAGGAAACAATTACTTTACTTTGTTTTCAAAGCAGACCGGACTATCATAAGCAAAAGACACAAGATTCTACAGAAAGTGAAAGATTTCTAAAGAAAACCGTACAAAAAATAAGACAGTAACAACGCAGATGACGACAAGGAACCTCCAAATATAAGTGAAGCCGACAAAATTTTCGATATCTTGACAGAAATGCGGCATGCAATAAAAGTCGTGAAGCGAAGAAGAGCTCCTGGCGAATACGGCATTACAGTAGAACTCGTGAAATCTGGAAGTGAAACATTGACCATGATAGATAGCGCGTCTGTTTTCATGCCGTCTAAAGCAAATGAAAATTTCAGAAGATTGGACAACCATATCAGTGATTCCACTCCACAAAAAGAGAGAAAGAGAGGATTTAAAAAACCACAAGGTGATCAGTCTGTTACCAATCATCTGCAAAATCTTCACCAAGATACTGCACAGGCAACGGAGCAAGAAGGATTCTGAAGTGGACTTAGTAAGATGGATCGTCTCGAAATTGTATAAAAAGGAAGTTAGATAGGTAACGATTATTCGCTTCCTCTTTGTCTTGAGTTAATCGATTTCGAGAAGGCTTTCGATTCACTCTACATCCGCTCTGCATTTAATTCCTTGGAGAGCCAGGGAATCGAGAATACACAGAGACCTTATCGCCATGATGTACAACAATGCAACTTCCAATGTGACGTTTCACGAAAGCTTAAGCAAGTTCAAAATCGAAAAGGGAGTTCGAGAGGGAGATATAATACTACCTAAGTTATTCGCAGCAAATCTGGAACAGTTTTTCAGCATGTTCGTTTGGGAAAATCAGGAACTGAACACAGAATGGGTACTACTTTAGCCACCTGCAGTTTGCGAACGATATTCTGATCCTCTTAAGGGCATCAGAAGAAATGGAGAAAAAAGAAACGAGCCAAATGACGTCGGCACGAAATTTTGGACTAAAAATGAACCTGAGGACCATCAGGCCATGTTTAACAAATACGTAACCGCGCGACCTATTCAAGTCAATGAACTCAGTACTGAAGAAGTGCAAAACTACATCTACATGAAATAGCGCACCTAAGCAACTGAGAACTGACTGTGGGAAATCAACAATAGAATCAAAATGGCAGGAAGTACTTTTGGAGGAATGTGGGCCTTAAGCCTGAAACCTGCTGATAAACCGGCGACTACCCAACCCAACATATAAATGTACATGTTGAATAAAATTAGACAGAAAAACGAACGAAAAGAGCACAGAGTCTGCGATATCACTGCCGGGGTGAAGAAGTTAGTGGCAATGAGCAGGCTATATTGCAAAAAAAAGCACCGACCATGACTAGACCAGATGGATACTAGACTGGGTTCCAAGAGAGAGTAAACGGCCACAGGAAGACCTCCAGGATGAGCTGAGGACACAGGATGAGCTGAAGAAGCTCGATGGGTAAAGATGGATGAAAGCAGCGAAAAACAGAAGTTTGTGGCAAAGTCTTGGAGAGGCAGTGAATAGTCAAAGGCTGATTATGTGAGTCTATTTTGCGAAGCCCTGAAGGTCACCGAAAGAATTATCAACAAAATCCAGCCTAACAGAGAGAATACCATAACCCAGGAACATAGGGATTTCGAGTGAGCCGGCCAGATCCTAACACTGCACTTTTTGCTGAAGATGTATATTTAATACCATTGTTCGTCAGGTATGTAGACTTTAATAAGATTCTGATTCTTCAGATCGAAGAAACACACACTAGTTGCTACGAGATGATAATGTATGAGCAAAAGCGGTTGACATCTTCAAAAATATCTACGTCAGCACAACAGCGGTAATCAGAACACGTGGAGCGGTCTTCGGCACCTTTGGATTGATAACGGAAAAGATCAGGGACAGGATATCAGACCAACGCTGCTCAATCACTGTATCGATGCGCTGATGACAGAGGTGGTTACACACTTTGAGAGCAGCGCACCGATACTCCATCCATTAAGATGCTGACTACTAGATCTGGGTTCCGCTAAAAACTTGCGATCATTGCAATGAAGTACGTAAAAACTTTAAAAATGGCCAGCGTCAAGTAAGAACTAAAGCTGAAGCCATCGCAGGGTGAACTCCTTCATACATACAGTATGCAACAGAGAGTGGCAGCTTAACGATTTACGAGAAAGGTATGCAGCATGTCAACGAGTTCTGCTATCCTGCCATATAGAATCAATGATCACGCGTGATGGAAGACGTGAAACAGATGCTCGAGAAAGAATAAGGAAAGCCTAAACTATCTGTAATATGCAGCAGAAAATTCTGTACAATGCCTCCGTCAATAAATCGATGAAATTCTGTGCACATTTGACAGTTATTAGACCAGAATTCATATATGCTGCAGTAATATGAATCCTAGCCAAAAACATCCGACGTTTAAACGCTTCCTGTGGGGCAGGATAGTCAGCTACAAATTAAATATGTTCACCAATGCCTAATTATTAGAGAATGCTAAAAAATCACAAATAAAATATCGCACAAAGATTATGCGGTTTTTCTCTCAGACGAAATAGAGAAACTAAAAACCTTTGATATGGTCATGAAACGATGGAGAAGTTACATAGCTGAAACATGTAAAAGCATCTCAAACAATAAATTCCATTACATTCCTGGGTACTATGTAAAGAAACTTGATTCTATTATCCTTTAATGCGAACTGCAGTGCTCAGTCTGATTCTAAAAATATTCTAAACGTCCATTTGCAGACGAAGATATCACATTTCAACCAAGAACCGCAAAATTTGACATCGTAAGATACTGGAATGTTATACAAATGGCTATGTAAGACCATTGAAAGTCTGTTTCCGCCTGCAAGTCAGAAAAGAACTTCCTGGTAGACATGGATTGCTCCCGGCTGCCGGCGAAAGCTGCAGACTCAAATGGAATGGCCCTGCTGCCTGGAGGTCACAAAAAGCTCATCGTGAACATGAGAAGTACAACAAGCAGTCAGAAAGAAGGCTGCTTTAAAGAAATCGCTTGGAAGCAAAGAAACTTCAACTGGCATAAGGTATGGAAAAGTACGCAAGACGACAGCGAAAGCAGTAGCAAACGCTAAAGCCGATCCCTGAGAGAAGTTCGATTAGGTGTTGGAGTCGAATTTCCACACGGCAAAACAAGGTAGTAGACCATCCGCTGGCTCCGAGGTGAAAACACTGGCGGTCTAAAAGTTTTGAAGGACTGACCTGCACACGCTCCTATCGAGGATACGGACATTCTTAACGGTGAAGAGAATGCTTTGAGAAACTTCTTAACCCCGAGCAACCGCAGGAAGAATCGCCAGTAGAGTAGCAAGGATGAAATCAGACAAGCAGTGAAAAGCATGAAAACTGGAAAGGCAGCTGGAATTGATAAAATCCGCCCCGAAATGCTCAAGGCATTAGGCGAACAAGGCATATGCTGGCTTACACGTGTCTGTAAAACTGCGATGACTACGGGGAAGACACCAGTGGACTGGAGAACGGGAGCTGTTGTATCCCTATTCAAAATGGGAGACTACCGGGAGTGCACCAATTATAGAGGCATTACGTTATTGGGCCTCCCGTGTAAAGTCAACGCATAAGTGCAGGGAAATAAGTGATTTCAAGATATATAAAAGCAATGTGGCTTTTGTCCGGCCGAAGCACATCTGAGCAGGTATTCGATTTATGCCAGACTGCTGAGAAATCGTGGGAGTTCACTCATCCAGTGTATGTGCTTTGTGGACGTAGAGAAAACCGATGACCGAATGCCGCGCAACAATCTACGAGCATGCCTGCGAACATATGAGATCGATGGCCCGTTACTACGGGCCATCCAAGCAGCACATGCTGAGAACAGGTGTTGCACAACAATGCATTAAGTCGAAAACTTCGAACTGGCACTGGTCTCCGCCAAGGCTGCGTTCTGTCTCTTCTCCTTCTGTGTTGTACATGGATAGAACAGTCAGGCGCAGTCAGTATGACGAGTGTATCCGCGTAGATGTGCAAACGAGGAGGTTGCAAATAACCTTGCTTTGTTGATATCGTCTGAAATGGATCTCAAGCGCTCTCTGAAAAAATTCGCAGCTGAGTGCGACCTGGCCGGCATGCCTGTGAACGTATCTGAAATGAAACACCTAGTGCTTTCTCGTTTTCCTGCCCGTTGCTCTCTTTAGATTAACGAAGATTCAGTGGAGCAGGTGGAGAAGTTCAAGTACCTCCGGATCGTGTTGACTGCTGATGGAAAGTGTGAGGAAGATATGGATCTACGTGAACCAGCCCCAATCGGTTTGACTAAAGCAGAGCTCAGTCTGAAAATTAAGCTCTAGGTGTTTAACTCGATCTTCATCCTCATGCTTAACTACGGTTATGAGTCATAAACCGTGATGCAAAACATCGATCCCGGGTACAAGCGGCTGATTACGCGTCTCGACATGGTCCGGAATACTGACATCCGGGGGAGCCTAGGTGCACAGTCTCTGCTTTTCCAGATTTGAGAAGTCATAGCTACGATGGTTTGGGCATGTGTTGCGAATATCTCCAGAAAGGAAGGCAAAGCAACTGTTCCTTGCCCAACCGAAGAATAGAAGTCCCAGGGGATGGCAGGGATTAACCAGGTGCAAATATATGGAATTATTCTGCTTGACTCCAGCTGTCTTCTGCCGAAGCTCCGACTCTGGCACAGGATCGGGAAAGTTGGAAGCACTGTCTGATGCGTTTGCCTCCATAACCCGAAAGGAGAAACGACTACTGCAGATGAAGACGAGGCATCTTCTACCAACTAGCTAAATTCAGCCCCACAAATAGAAGCATGGCTAACGACATTAGATTTTAGGTGATAGATAATAAACACGCCAGTACAGACGACGGAAGCCGAAAGTACTCAACACAACAAACTGAATATCCTTTAATCATTGAGTAAGAGCGTAAGCTGATTCGTTCAAACGCAATTCTCGTAATTCTCTGCCGGCGAAGATATGATGCATAACGAACGGATCAACCAGTCGGACATTTCGAAGGCCCAGAATCAATCGATAATCTCGTATGATTCCGGACTATGCGCCGCATTGATTCAATCTGCTTCTTGACATCGTCAGCCTTTCATGTCATGTCGTTTTCTTTGTCAGAACATCTATTTCAGGCTTTATATTATATCACACTCAGTATATAAAATCTAGATATTACCACAGACTGTTTGCAACTTCTTCAACATGTTTTCAGCGATAAACGATTAGTTACTCATCTGCACTAGTCTCGATGAAAAGTCAATTTTTATGGGACTTTAACATGCTGAGCAAGAGAGTATGGTTTATCGTTTTATCAGAGGGCTGCTACGATATTATATTTATCGGTGGCAAGGAAGACCAACGTTCTTCACGCTCTGAACAGTGAATGGAATCACTGCATGCGTGACTCTGAAAACCACCTGCATGAGCCATCGCACTGTCCGTTAGGTTATTAGGCGAAAAACGACACTAAGACTCTATCATTAATAACTAATAGCCCATTTGTGAGATACATAATCGAATCGATAAAAAACTTTCCGTCACACAGTTTGGGTTAAAGACGAAGCAGGTGTTCAATCGTTTATCAACGTAGCTTCTAGGAGCAATGGCTTTATAGAAGACAGTGCATCGCTCATTGCGACCCGCTCACAAAGCTAGAATGTTCCAGTACAAATTCAGAACGGTAACGATATTTACCAGCGGCGACCCTGAATACGCCGCTCTTAGGCATACCAAGCACATACACGCGCGCACAC